GTGTTTGCTCTGGGCAGGCAGTGTGCTGTGGCTACGGCTTCAGAGGAGAAGCAAAAACAGCAAGTGGGCCATGAAGCTGTGGGAAACAGCTGCAGCACTGTAGTCTTGTAGGAGCCATAAGAATGAGGATGGAAACACTCGTTTCAACCATAACTTAAATGCCATCAGGATTTGCCACTTTTTCAGGAAACTTCATGCATCCGGCAAAGTAAGTTTTCTATCAACGCTCATATCAAAATAAGGTTGGAGCTAGTTGATAGCTTCCTCCTTGGCTCCAGTGCGAAGCCAGAAATGGGGAACATGAATGAGATCATGAGCTGGAGGATCCAGCATGAGGACCGGGCGAGAATCCCTTATCTTTCTGGTTTTCCCCTTTCTAGAGCAGCTGCTTCCGACCAATGCTCCCTCTAAGCTGTGGAGTCTTGTGAGCAAAGCTTCTACTTTGTGAGCTACTGGCATTAAAGTTGTGAGTGAGCGATTTGGCTGCTGCATAAAATTAGTTTCCTCTGGAGCCATCCTTCCTGAGTTAAGACAAAAATGTGTGAGCCAGAGGCTAAAAAACTGTGAGCGAGCTCACACTAACTCAGCTTAGAGGGAACACTGCTTCTGACCCTGGTAAAGTTTATTCCTAGGATCACAGGAGTTACATCATGGAGTCACATCAGTCAGCAGGCTGCAGTGGGGAGGTGAAATGGTGCTCTGCTGACAGCTGAGCTCTGCTCACACAAGAGGGAAGGGGGATCAGTTTTGTCCCCTTTCCCTCATGTAGCCTCATGACCTGCATGGCTATTACTCCATATGGGTCCTTTTGCAGGGTCAGAAAAGGCTGCTGGGGAGAGAGGAAAGCAAGGAAGATGGATGATTGTCAGCTCCTTCCACTGAGGGATTCTGGGATCCAATCCACCAGTCAGTACAGTGCTTTTGCACATGTCTGTACATTGATCCTCTTGTTCCTGGCCTACAAGTCTCTGCAGCCTTGATCAGCGCATGATTTGTGGTTCACGGGTGAGCTGATAGATCAGGACTCCGGCCCTTTGACAAATCCTCTGTCCTTACTTTCAGTGGGTGTGTGCATGTATAACATTGTTTATATTTTCAGATTCTAGACCACAATCCCATCAGTCATGACAACTATTGTATTGTATATATAAGTAGCTGTTCTTGATGCGTGCCTGATGGATATCCACATGGGAGCAGGAAATTCACAGTACAATATCGAAATGAATGAATTCGGCAGAAAACACAGGCATGTGAAGAGGCTCACAGAGGGGACTGTTAGGACTATAAATTCTCTTGCTGGCACAGAGAGGAGTTGGATGAAGCCCATAAATGATTTACAATTGTTTAAAAATGTTGAATGTTACATAAGAGAAAATGAAGTGGGCCCTATCAGCATTTCTGCTTGATTTCACCTGCTTCCCCCTTCCTCAGTACAGCTCCCATCCCATGTGACTTTTGTCCATGTGAGACCCACAATCTGGGGAGCAGCCTTTTTGGAGGTCAAAAGGGGCCCTTCCTCCTCCTTTCACCTACACAAACTGGTAGGATTTGACCCAGGGCTTCCAAACAAGTTATCCCAATTCCATGGTTTGTATACCGTCTCCTCATATGCAAATGACTCCTGTAACCCAGAGTAACCGGAGTATAACAGTTGGTGTGCTTTCCCAGGCTTCTGGCAAAGATATTCTGAACTACCACAGGCAGCCCTGAGGTAAGACATTTCTTCTTCTTGGATATTATACATATACCTGCTGGGTTGCCTTCCTATAAGTCCTTGTAGAGAAAAGGACACAGAGGAATGGAGTACAGACAGTGTTTTTATGTGCTACGAAATTTCAATCCAAATTCTAATATCTCAAAGCTGCAACATATGGGAGAGAAATTTGGTGGCAGGTGTTTTGTTTTCTGTCGCGTTCCAAGGATTTGCTTTCTCTGGGGAGGACTGTGACAGACTAGAGTTTTTTCTAGCTCAAATGTTTCTGTTCATACTTTTCGACAAATCCTGAAAGTGTGTGTGTGTGTGTGTGCATGCGCACTTGAGAAGTGGAGGAAGCAACACAAGATACATAGATTCAGAACCTTGTGTTTTTATTCTAAAGTCCTAACATAGTGGCCAGGTGTTTCTACTGTCAGCTGACTGTTAGGTTTCGAGTGGCACCAAAGGACTTCTTGTCTCCTTGTGTAACTTAACTTCCTGCAAAACATGAAGAAAGGAAATATTAGGAAGGAAGGCTTGCTCCTGCTGAAAGGAAAATGGCAACATGGCGGGGGGGCGCGGAGGGGATGGGTGCTTGATAGAAGTTTATAAAATGATGCACAGGGTGGAGAAAGTGGAGAGAGCCTGTTCTTCCTCTCCCATAATACTAGCACTTGGTGGCACCCAATGAAGTTAGCAGGCAATAGGATGAGGTCAAGCAAAACGCTTTACCCAACGAGTAATCAAATTGGACAGTTCACTGCCAGTGGACATAGCTGTAACCGTTATCATAGATGTCTTTAAAGTGGAATTGGGCAGATACAGGCCCCTTTCACATTACCATTCTAAACCAGATGTTATTCGTTGTTGACCCAGTTCTGAGTAAAGCGATACAAGGACAGAGGTTTCACAGAGCGAATTTCACTTAGTTAATGAGCCATCTCTAAAGTGATCTGGCTATTTCAAACAGTGCTGTGCTTTCCCCCACCCTTTTTTGCAACACGATCATCCTTGAACTTTTTTTAACGTTCTAAGTTGGGTGCTATAGCACTAGACCAATATAGCACTTCTCAATGTATCTCAATGGTGCTGCTGTGGCACTAAAGTGCTATATTGGTCTACTGCTATAGTGGAGAAAAAGTGCGTGTGTGTGTAGGGGGGGGAGCGCGGCACTGGTGGAAGTGCTGCAGAAATTTTAAACAGTACCCTACTGCGATTCAGAAGCGCAAAGAAAAAGGGTTTTAATTAAAAGGGGTCCTGTTCACACGGAGAAGTTGCCGTGCTAAAGACACGGATGATAGGCAGATTTTCGGTGCGCGATCACACCGCAACATCTGGGAAGTGTAGTTCACCCGTGGCTAACCCGTGGCTTCCCGCCGAAGATGTGGAGTAAAAAACTACCGCATACAATGTAATAGTTTCCGGAAATCGCGGGGCAAGGGCGCGCGTCTGATCGCGTTTCCGCTCGAATCCCATGGCATCGGGTGCCTGTCCATGTCCCATCGCAAACCGGATGGGGGGTTTTTTTTGTCTCCACAGGATGTGCTTGCTCGATCATGCACATGCGCAAACTTTGGTGAGAAAAAAAATCCCGTTTGCCACGGAAGTGGCACCTAGTGATTGCCGGTGTGATCGTGCTGCCCCGCTTCTTTGCTGGGCTTCAGGATAGCCGTGTGATCAGCACCTACCAGCTTAACCACGGGAACTCCATGGGACGTGTGATCCTGCTGCCGTGCTTTACTTTGCTCCAGGGCAAACAGCCACGTCTCACCCCCGCGTTATCTGGCCCGTGTGACCGGGGCCAGGGTTTTGATTAAATCAGAGCCAGGACCCAGCATCGAAGGCTCATCTGCAGCTCAAAGGCTGAGCATTGGGAGAAAGATTCTCTCTGCAGCAGAAGCCACAGTCCTTGCCATGCCCAAAGCATAGTCCAGACCTTCCTTTGCTCCCTAAGCTGTTCCAGAGCTTTTTGATAGAGCCTAATGCCTAAGGTCCTGGAGTCAAGGGATGAAGTTGCTGAAAGAAACAGCCAGTCCCGAGGGAATGCGGGTCAAGCCCTTGTCTTCCCTCCAGATCCCAGGCATCCTCTGTGACATTTGCAAGAGGAAGACTGCAAATGTTTCTTGTTATGCCACAGATGTTCCTATTGGCCCCTTTCGTACACAGGCCCTCGCAGATGTTACTGGATAGACTCCTACCATGCTTACAGTATCACATCCACCATTATTGTATGGGGCTGTTTGATTTGTGCAATTTCTCCCATGTGTTTGCTCTGATGCACAATTCTGTAAGCATGAATGTGTTACCGACTGATGGCATGTGTATGAGAGAGAGAGACAGAGTGTTCACACTTTCTATGTCTATGGAGCAACTGGATAAATCGTGTCTCCTATCTGCTTCCCCATGCTGGAGCAAACAGCGTATTTACCAAGTGAAATATATACACTAAAGCCACCTTGTGGGATTTTTGCTGCATCAAAAAAAAAAAAAGTGGTGGTGGGGGGGAAGTGCTGAAATGTTAATTGGCTATCGAGAGCTAGTTTGGTGTACTGGTTAAGTGTGCAGACTCTAATCTGGGAGAACCGGGTTTGATTTCCCACTCCTCCACTTGCAGCTGCTGGTGTGACCTTGGGTCAGTCACAAGTTCTCTCAGAGCTGTTCTCTCAGGAGCGGTTCTCAAAAGAGCCCTCTCAGCCCCACCTACCTCACAGGGTGCCTGTTGTGGGGAGGGGAAGGGAAAGGAGTTTGTAAGCCGCTCTGAGACTCAAAGTGAAGGGCAGGGTATAAATCCAATCTCCTCCTCCATCATAAGAACTTGTAGTATTTAACTTAATTTTTTTTCTTGAGGCTATTAGCAAAACATTTTCTCTCCTTAGCTAATGTTAATTGCCTATGGGCAGTTGTTGTATGCAGGCTGCAGCATGGGAATCCTCATGGCATGAGGCATTCAGTTCTACAGGCGTGATTCCATTTCTTGATATGGTTTTCCTATCCCCCAGCTAGCAAGCTTTTGTCTATGTGCCCTTGGCAGGTCTGTGCAGGCACGGACTCAGTCTTGTAGATGGATTCTGTTCACTGAATGAATACCAAAAAAATCAGTGACTCCTGATCCTGCCCATTTAATTGTGTACTTATGACTTACTGCTTATCATTTTCTCTCTCCAATTACTGACTGTCACCCCCCCCCCCAAAGCACTGTGTGTACTCTCAAAAGATTGCTCCCCCGTCCTAATCTTTTTCTACATATACATACCACACACACAAAGAAAACCCCTTGTTGGTCGATCTGGATGATGCTCCATACCTAATCGCTGGCCGAGAGTAGAAAGCGGGTGCTATTCCTAAGGTATTTTCTTGAATTCTGTGGGGGTGAAAAGAACCAAGGGCACAAATTAGTCAACAGTGATATTTAGGAATATTGATATTTAATCAGTTGTAATTCTGGGGGATCTTTAGGCCCCACCTGGAGGTTGGCAACCCTATTAAGCCATGAGAGCTTAGGCCAATCACAAAATGGCTGCCATGGGCCAGGACTAATCACAAATTGGCTGCCATGCGGACTAAAGCCAATTACAAAATGGCTGCCATGGGGTGCTGGCTAGGGTTGCAAATGTCCAGGTGGGGCCTGGTGTTCTGGAATTACAGTTGATTCCCAGATTATTAAGATCAGTTCCCAAAAATGGTAGGGTTGCCAGGCTCCTGGTCTGGGCGAACTTTATCCCACTTTTGTGGGCCTCTTTCTGTCGCCGACCAGCTGGCCGGTGTGGGGAGCCCTGCCCACAAATGGCCCCCAACGCAATGTGATGACATCACCCAGAAGTGACGTCATCATGTCACTGATGGGGGGGGGGCGGTCTAGTTTTTTTGCAAACCTATGGTAAAATTGGGCTCAAACCATAGAGTTTTGCCCAAAAGCTAGAGCGTCACCCCCGATGGCGGCAACATGATGACGTCACTTCCGGGTGACGTCATCATGGCAAGCATGCCAGAAGATCCCGGGACAGACCCTGCAACCCCCTGCTGGCAGCCAGGTAGGACCTGTCAACCCTAGAAGATGGGCTGTATAGCATCACATCGCTGATGAGCTCTCTCCCCTCCCAAAATGCCATCCAAATCTTCAAGAATTTTCCAAGTCAGAGTTGACAATCCTAGTGCTAGGGCCAGTCACAAAACACTGGGAGGTCTCAAGCGAAATATATTCATACCTTGGAGGAAAGTTTTCTGAATGAGTGTTCCTGACAAACCCAAAGGTGGTGCTTCCTGGGTTCTTCGTAGAGCACCTCCGGCTCCAATGAGGTGGGGAAAAGCCAGAACTGGCTATTTGGTTAGGGAAAAGAGATGCTACAGGGAAGAAGTCAATGGCTGTCAGGAAATAGGCTTGCCAACCTCCAAGTGGGGCCTGCAGTTCTCCTGGAGTTACAACTAATCTTCAGACTATAGAGATCAGTTCCCCTGGAGAAAATTGCAGTTCTAGGTGGACTTTATGGTTTGGTGTAGTGCTTAAAAACGGTGGACTCTAATCTGGAGAACTGGGTTTGATCCACCACTCCTACACATTCAGCTGCTGGGCGACCTTAGGTCAGTCACAAGTTCTCTCAGAGCTGTTCTCTCAAGAGCAGTTTCTGTCTGAGCTCTCTCAGTCCCACCTACCTCACAGGGTGTCTTGTAGTGGGGGGAGGAAAGGAAGGAGATTGTAAACCACCTTGAGACTCTGAGTGAAGGGTGGGGTATAAATCCAATCTCCTCCTCCTATTTATTCTAGATGAAATCCCTCCTGAATTCCCCCCTCCATAGGGTAGAGTTGGTAGCCCTACCAGGAAACCTATTGGTGGGCGGCATGGTACCCATCGGTGCCAAGGTGGCAAGGATCACTGGAAACTGGAGAACAACAAGAAGAGTTGATTTTTATACCCCTTAAGGTTTTATACCTTTAGGAGTCTCAAAGTAGCTTACAATCTCTTTCGCTTCCTCTCCCCACAACAGGCACCTTGGGAGGCTGGTGGGGCTGAGAGAGTTCTTAGAACTGTGACTGGCCCAAGGTCACCCAGCAGGCTTCATGTGGAGGAGTGGGGAATCAAACCCAGTTCTTCAGATTAGAGTCCACTGCTCTTAACCACTATACCACGCTGGCTCCCTGACTAGACGACCCCTTGGAGTTTCTTCCAAATGTGTGAGAAAGCATCCTTTCACTCTCCAGATTTACACGAGAGACAAAGAGATGGTAACTTTTGTGCTAAGAGAAAGGTTGCAGCTGTGCCATCTGCTTTCCCCCCTCTCTCCATCTGTGGGAGGCTTGTTGTCACGGCTGAGATGTCGTCGCCTGACTTTGGGGACAGATTTTTAACTCTGTTGACAAAGAAATTAGTGCAGGCAACTTTTTTGCAATAATGAACGGGGAGAGGGAAGGGGGGAAAGATGAAGGGGAGCCTTTGCAACGTGACACGTGGGATACAAACCCGGCATAACCCCCCCACCCCTCTGCTAATAACAGGGTTGGAACACTTTCTCGCCCACGCACGAGCTTCAGAAATTGCCCCACCGGATTATCACATTCTGCAAACGCTGAGGGAAAATTACAAAATTAATTGCGCTCCAAAGGTCCTGTTTTTATTTGGAAATGTAAAGATTAAACATCTACTGCTAGGACTGGAAAGTTAATTAACTGTCCTTCTTTGTTAGCCGCAGAGCTGACTGATCCACTCAGTGTTGTTTTTGTGTGTTTTTAAAAACTGTATGTAAAGAATCTGCTTTTACTAGAAGTCTGAAGGCCTAACAAAGGATATGCGGCCTTCTCCGGCCTATATCTCAATATTGCCGTGCAGTCTAATGGGAGAAATGCCTGATGTGGCATTGCCACCTTACATGTTGCCTCACTTTCTGTGAGAAACAACCAATGACAGCATCTGGGGCATAGAAATGCTGAGTGTGAGGATGTCCCATCATGCTTTGTGGTGTAAGGTGTTACCAGGCAACTGTGGACCACCAGTAATGATACATCCCCCATAACTATCTCATTAGCCCTAAAATTAAACAGGACAAATCTGCCTTTGAATGTAACCTCTGACTTGGATGCCCTTCACTCTAATCACCAAGATTGGGGCAGGAGAGAAATCGAGATGTTCTGGACGTGCTCAGAATCATTTACCATGACACACGTTTCAGGAATGAGCTCTGTTCTCAAAACAAGGCCCTCGATTCTCAGAATCCTAGATTTCAGATCCTAGAGCTACAGTCAGGTGATCCTTGGCTGAAAGAAAGCCGCAGGAAACTGAAGAGCCATGTCTTTGCCATGTGTGTGACCTATCAGGGAATCTAGCAGTACACGACGCAGCCACCAAGAGGCAATATCAGATGAAGGCCTTGGCTTCTACGCCTTGTTTGTTGGTCCTCCAGGACAACTGGTTGGCCATTGACTAAAACATGATGCTGGTCTAGATAGACCCCTGGTCTGATCAAGCAGGACTCTTTTTATGCTCTTGAGAAATCTATGCAGGTATGGGTCTGGTCACTACCCAGGCAGAAGATCTATGCAACTGCATTAAATTCCATTAACATAACATAATTGTATGAATATGCATAAATAAATAACCAAATAAAGACATGGATGACTGTCTCTCCTCACTATACTGTTTACATCAGGGGTCCCCAACCTTTTTGAGCCTGCAGGCACCTTTGGGATTCTGATACAGTGTGGTCAGTGCAGCCACAAAATGGCTGCCACAGAGGTGGAGCCACCCACAAAATGGCTGCTGCAGCTTACCTTGAGTCATACAGTGAAGATCCTCCTGCTGTGGTAGCAGCTGCTGCCAAAGTAACATATTTAAAAATATGTAGAGCCAATCAAATTTCCAATGCTCAATCAGAAGCCTTGCTGGGCAAAATAACCCCCACATTTTCTAAACACACTTGGTGGCAGGCCCGTAGCTAGGGATCCCAAGTCCCCCCGGGGGGCGGGGAAACACCCGCCCAGAGGCCTGTTCCCCGGTGCCGCCGGATTGGGCCCCGGGGGGAACTCCACCCCAACGTGCGCGTCACCTGGAAGTGACGTGGGCACACTGGGCACGCTGGGGGTGGGGCCACGGCCATAGAAGGGAAAACTCTATAGTTTCCCCTTGTATGGCCGTGGCCCCGCCCCCAGCGTGCCTGGCGTCCTCCCGTCACTTCCAGGTGACGTGCGTGCGCACAAGATGCCGGCTGGCAGCCCCCCGCTCCCGGTGAAGATAGACTTGGCAACCCTACCCATAGCTAAAGTGGGGCATCTCGGGGCTAGGCCCCCTTACTTACTGGCAAGGCCCCCTGACTTCCCATCCAGCCCAGGGCCCCTGAGCGGCAGCAGGTGCGGGGAAGGAGCTGGGTATTCCTTTAATTCGATTAGCCAGTGCCCTCTAAGAAATGTAAATGCCCCCTAACTTTAAAAATCCTGGCTACAGACCTGCTTGGTGGACACCAGAAAAGGTGTTGGTGGGTGCCATGACAACTGCAGGCACCATGTTGGGCACTCCCGGTTTACATGTTGTGATGCACGTGCAGCATTGTGGGAAAGCTACCCTTACAACCAGTTAGGCATTAGAATCCTTTTGACTACCATGATCAGAAAAATAAGCTTCATTTTGAGAAAGGTGGCCAAGGTTGCACTTGCCTGCCAGTCTATCTCGGATTGCTTCCTGTCATAGGTCGGCTTACGATCTCTGATCCTCTTCAGGATGCCCTGGTTCTCCACGGTTATCCTCACAAGCTCCCGGTTCTGCTGCTGTCGGAGTGGACTGCAAAACCCGAACAGGTCCCACTTATCAGATTCTGGGGGCAATTATACAGAGAAGCCCTGGGGGAAGCAGGGGGCAAGAGGTTGGCTTCATCTAGATGAAATACAGGCGGAGGACACGAGTTTGGGAAGAAGAAAAATCTAAGCTTCTTGATGTATTGAAGAGCCAAAGGATATGGAATGAAACCATAAAATGAAATGGAATTTTTATGCAGTCATGAGCTTCCGGCCAGGGTTAAAAGTCACTTACAGTTTTTACTGGTACTTTATCCCTTGGGGAGACTCAAAGCAGAAAATGGAAAGTACCACTTTGGTCACTTTCTTAGCAGTACTTCCTGGGGGGGGGGACAATAGAGGTTTATACAATTATGCACAGGCTGGACAGAGTTGACAAAGGCCCCAGTCACACGGGCCGGATAACATGGAGGGTGGGGAGGCGTGGCTATTTGCCCCGTTGCAGTTTGATCCATGATTATGCATTCAGATGCAACAGGATGATGGGGGAGAAAGCTGTGCGCTGGCGCAATCAAACCAGGGGAATCCGCATGCAGCACATGGCAAACCATTTGCCAGTAGGTCATCCCAGGTACTTTTTTACAGGGGTCGTTTCGTAGAAAAAGAGCTAGGGGAACTCATTAGCATCTCATTAGCTTTTGCCACACCCCCTGACATCACCGGAAGTGATGCATATGCCACACCCCCTGCCCCCAATGGTCCCGGCCGCCGTCGCCGGCCTTGCAACTCCACTGCAGAGCCCCATGAGGGGCCCGGCGGTGGACCTGCAAGGCCGGCGGGAGTGCAAGGAAGCCCCGCGAAGGCCCTCCCTGGCCCCAGGCAGGCAGAGGTGGGGAGAGGCAGGGAGGAAGCAACTTACCCTCCCTCTTCTCCTGCCTCCTCCTGGCTGAATGAGGGCCGGAAGCGGGGTGGCCGGAAGCAGGGGGCGGGGCTTCGTCATGTGCCCCGCCCCCGTACCTCACCCGGGGGAACTGCGATCCCCCCGAAATGACCTCTGCTTTTTTAATGCGCATCTTCGGTGGGACGCCACAGGAGCTCTACGCCTCCCAGATGTTCTGGTGTGATCGCGCCGGAAAACTCCGTGGGAGAATCGTGCCTTCAGCGCGGCAAATGCTCCGTGTGACTGGGGCCAAAGATAACTTTTTCTTCCTCTCCCAAAATACTAGAAATTGAGGGCATCCAATGGGTAGTAGATTCAGGGCGGGCAAAAGGAAATACTTCTTTATGCAGCAAGTGATTAAAATGTGGAATTCTCTGCCAGAGGATATAGTGATGGCCACAGGCATAGATGGCTTTAAAAGGGGATTAGACAGATTCACGGAGCACAGGTCTATCAGTGGCTATTAGCCATGGTGACTAAAGGAAACCTCCATGTTCAGAGGCAGTTAGCCTCTGAATCCCAGTGCCAGGAAGCGACTTCGGGCAGGCCTTGGCCTCTCTGCCCTGTTGTTGGCCCTCCAGAGGAACTGGTTGGTCACTGTGAGACAAGATGCTGGACTACACAGACCACTGGTCTGATCCAGCAGTGCTCTTCTTATGTTCTTATACCAGCCCGTACTGGCTTACTTTCACCCATATTTCCAACCTGGATCCAGAAAAGGTCTGTCTCAGGATCCCTCATGTCCTGCAATCCCAGAAAATCTTGAGGCAAGTCTCCCTGAATGAGTGCAGTAGCGTCTGCAGCTGCAGTTATTCTGAAAATGCGCCTTACAGGTGTGAGAATGATGTCCAGATGGACTTTGTGCCATTTATGTTAATGTCAGTTCTCTTTTGGATAGGAAAGTATTTTTTGGGGGGGGGGGGAGCTTTCAGCAAGTGCATTTAAAAGGATACGTTTTATGCCACTTCCGTCACTTATGATGAAGTGAGAACTTGTAGTTATGAGATCAATAATTCTGTCTATTGGCATTCTCATAAAGGGAAAACAAAATCAAGAGGAGACGAGGGAGCAGTCTGTCAAGAAATATATAATGGCGTCCTTATGAACGGGTCATTTCCCTATCCAACAGTTACAGGGCCTGCTTGTCTGAAGTAGAGAGCAGAAGAATACGCCTTCTCCCATACATTCTGGCTTGGGAATTAAGATCATGGGAGGAGGCTCTCCTGACCAAGGGTGTAGACTTTCCAATTTCCCGGGGGGGGGGGGCTGGGCCAGAGGCATTGCAAGGGTGGCTCCCGGGGGAGGCTGAGCACCTTCCTGAAAATTTCGGCGGAGGCTGAAGCCCTCCCCACGAAGATTACGCCTATGCTCCCAACCGTCCCACCGATCAATGAAACTAATCTGGTGGGTACTTGAGAGAGAGCCTTTTCAGGGAGAGCCCCACAATTGTGGAACAACCTCCTCAGGGAGGCAACTGAAGATGGTCTTATTTAGGCCTGCATTCGATTAAAGCAGCCCTGAACGATGATTTTAAATTTTGGTTTTTTGTTTTATGTTTTTTATGCAATCCATCTTATTTATTGTATGAATATCGTAATAAGCCACCTTGAGTTCCATGAGGAAGAAAGGTGGCTGATGAACATTTTAAATAAATAAATAAACTTGGGAAATTTCTGGAGCATGGGGGGGGCAGAGTTTGGGGAGGGGAGGGAGTTCACATGGAATCTATGGTATACCACACAGTTTGTCCTCCAAAGCTGCCATTTTCTCCAGGGGAAGTGTTTTCTGTAGTCTGGAGAACTCCAGGCCACAACTGGAGGTTGGTAACCTTGCAAGGGGATGTGGCTTGGCACTGACCTCTTCTTTACATAGTGGTTCCAGCAGTCTACCATGCCTGACCCACGATAAATATCAGCCAGACGTGTTGAGATGCTCTTGTTTTCTCTTTCAATTAGACTAATCCTCTTTTGGGCTTCCTGTAGAATGAGACAGCACAGGTTTCAGATGTTATCACACAATTTCTTTCTTCCCAGGGATAGGAATCATAAATGCTCATTTTTTTGGTACCCAATTCTTGCAAGCAGAACATTCTTCTCCTCTTTTTACCATCCCACCCATGACACACTTATTATCAAACTGTTATGGAACCATGCAGGAAAAACAAACACAGTGCCACTACCAGTAACAACATTACAACACAAGGAAAAGAATTAGCACCTGGAGAATCCGCTTAGATTTCCAACACCTGGTGTACAGCCTTTCCACAATGCCCAAGGTAGCTTTCAAATTATGAACATACACAAATAAGAACATGGTGTTTAAAATAAAAAAGTTCAACACATGAATTCAAATGCATCAAGTTAAGAGGGCAGTATTGTCACTACCAGATGCCAGAGATGACCATTAGTTATTTTTGCCGAAGGTGTGTCTAAATAATTCCACTTTGCACCTTTTATGATAAAAAGAGAGTGTAAGAGCTTTCTGTACCATAATCTAGCAGGCTGTTCCAAAGAATGGGCACACAGCCACTGAAAATAAGCATGCACAGACTGTAGTTGAACAGACCTCCCAAACAGAGGAGACTGTCAGAAGTGAGACATTTGATTACCTTAGTTGGCACATGGGATCATAATGGGGAAAAGTGGTCCATAAAGGAATTAGTAATTCCTGCTTTCTGCTCCCTTAGCTCCACCCTTTTTCCCTTTCATTCCATCATTTGATCCCAGAAACCTGTCCCTGAGTACATGAGGTCTTCTCCTCGACCCCACTGAGCTAGGATTGCCAAGTTCACCCTGGCCACTGGTGAGGGATGGCAGGGTAGGGTTGTCAGATCCAGGTTGGGAAACTCCTGGAGATCTGGGATGGAGACTGGGGAGGACAGGGATCTCAGTGGGGTACAATGCCCATAGAGTCCACCCTCCAAAGCATTTTCTCCAGGGGAACTGGGCTCTGTTGTCTGGAGATGAGCTGTAATTCTGGAGGATCTCCAGGTCCCATCTGGAGGTAGGGTTGCCAGAGCCTGTCCACCCACTGGTGGGGGAATTTGGGGGGCATCCCTGGAGGGGGAGGGGACATCCCCAACATGATGACATCACATAGAAGTGATGTCATCACATTAAGGAGATAGCCTGAACTGCAAGTGGCAAATTCACTGCTTGGAGATCAGGCCCCCGCGGCCCCCTTTAAATGCTTTTTACAAGCGGGGGCTGCCAGCTCCTGAATTCCAAGTGGCGAATTTGCCGCTTGCAGTTGCAAATTTATGGCCAGCGGCCACCCCTCTTCCTCCTCTTCTGCAAGTTTTCAAGGGCCCTCCGGTTGATTGGCGAGCCATGTGCTCCAGCCAATCAGCTGGAGGGCCCTTTAAAACTTGCAGGAGAGGAGGGAGAGGGGTGGTTGCCAGTGGCTGCTCTTGTGGGCGGGGTTTCCCCCACTGGCCAGGTGGCTGGCAGGAGCCCTCAAAATCGGGGGATTCCCCCGCCCTCACCTGGGGATTGGCATCCCTACCTGGAAGCTGGCAACCATAAGTGACTGAGTCCCACCCCTTGACTTCACTGGTCCAGCCCTGCCAAGTGGCTGGACTCCACCTAGAGTTGCCATCTGGGAGCTTTCTTGGGGGGGGGTGCAATGCCATGTTGTAACTTCCAGTCATGTAAACAGGCATCGCTGCAACCCCTCCAACCTCTATATTTTTTACAGGGGTGCAGTGATGCACGACATCCCTTCTGGTTACATATTCCGAAGTGAGGCTGTGGCATTGCCACAATGCCACTCCCCCAAATTTCTGTTGCTGCTGCACAGGGCAACACCGGGTGACTAGAGGCAGGGGGCAGGAGGTCTCCTGCTATATTGGCAGACCTGCCTCCCGCCAGCTCTACCCCTCACCCGAAGAGTGCCTTCTACAGTGCTCGCTTCGGCAGCACATATACTAAAATTGGAGTGCCTTCTACGAGTTGGCAACCCAATCCCACAGTGGCTTTTCCCAGGGGAATTATACGTTTCTGTATAGTGGTTAGTCAGGCCCTCAACCAGCACTTATACAAGGGGGAAGTGACATACCTGGATCTTCGAAACCTTGAAGTAATGGTGGGGCTGAGCACTTGGTGCCTTCGTATCAACAAAATGCTTCCCTGGAGATAGATAATAAACTATGTATTTATTTGAAGTAGTTATATCCTTCCTCCCAACAATGACGACAAAAGAATTCTGGATAAACAGACAGTTTAAAATAGTAGGAAAAGGCCATTATTTTCACTATTCCTGCTGTTTCTCCGTGTATCTACCATTTAGGGTTGCCAGCTATGGGTTAGGAAATACCTGGAGATTTGGGGGTGGAGACTGAGGAGGGCGGGGTTTGGGGAGGGGAGGGACTTCCATGGGGTAAAATGCCATAGAGTCCACCTTCCAAAGTGGCCGTTGTGATCCTGCCTGTCCTTCATGGAGCTCAGGGCTGTATCTGGTTCTCCCTTCTTCCATGTTATCCTCAACTGAGGTAGGACAGGCTGGAAGAGAGTCAAAGAGCACTCAGAGAGGTTCATGGCTAAGTAGGGATTTGATTCTGGGTCACCAAGGCCCTATTCTGAGATGCTAACTACGAAAGCAGCAGGAGCAACCACACTGTTGGTAGCAATACTGGGTTTTTTTAACTGGGGTAGGGGTGGGGAGGAGAGAAGAGAAACTTCATGAAACCCCTTTCCTTTGGATAAAGACTCTGAGTCCTGGCTGCCACCAAGGTCATACCCATGGCCTAGGGTTGACCACCTCCAGGTGGTGCCTGGAGATCTCCTGCAATTACATCTGACCTCCAGGTGACAGAGATAAGTTCACCTGGAGAATATGGTCACTTTGGAAGGCGGATTCTTTGGAAAGTGGACTCTAATACCCCATTGAAGCCTCTCCTCTCCCCAAACCCTGCCCTTCTAAGGCTCCACCCTCCCACATCTCCAGGTATTTCCCAACCCGGAGCTGGCAACCCTACCATGGACTCCCGTTGTTGCTGGATGCCATTTTATGGTTGCTAAAGAGATGTGGGAGCCAGGCCACCTAGCTGCTGTCTCTGCTGCCCAAAACACAGAAGGGGAAAGAAGACTGACTGCCATTTTGAACTGAAGCTGACTTGTTCCATGCCACAGAGGGAAAAGGAGGTGTGTCAGTGCTTATGGCTTGAGCCTCAGTAATACAGTCACACAAAGTGTGTCTGTCTGGCTTGCTCTCACCACAGAAGGGTGTGTTTGTGTGTGTGTGTGGGGAAACCTTGGCGCTGGTTTGTGTTTCAAGAAAAGCACTTCACACCAGGTGCTCTCTCTCATAGCTTAACCTACCTTGCAGGGTCGTCGTGAGTGTAAAATGGAAGAGAGGAGAACCTGTCTTATGTTACCTGGAAGAAGGGTGGGGTGGAAATGCAAGAGACAGACATGTGGCACGGATTAGAAGAGATCGATTTAATTTTCATAATTTTATTTTTATTTTTCAAACATTTGTGTCTTCATAAGTTTCAATATCAGAGATGGATAAGTGTTCAATATGCTTTTCCTTTGTAGGTCAGAGTATGACTTAGGTTTGTGCTGACAGAGAAGGAGTGGAGTAAACATTCTTATCAGTTTTCTTGGCTGGAGTAGCTGTTTGGCTGTCTGGTTGCCTTAATGAAACTTGACTGTATCGCTAATGGGATAAGGGAGGAAGGGTCTAGACATGAATGTATTTACTTAATCTCACTTCTAGTATAAGGTTCATATGCTTTACCTATGTTTTGATGCAAAGTTCCAAAGAGTCTGGGTGAAGGGGGATTTCTATTCCTTATCTGAAAATAATACTTTTTGCTTTGGTATGAAGAATCCTTGGTTAAAGGTGAAGAAGACTTCTTTGTTCTATGTCAAGTAAACAATTAAGATACTATGTAGCTACACCTCTTATTGTAACTGACCAATGAATGTATGTCCACAAAAATGATGCCTCTTTATGTTTCTCCGTGTATCTACCATTTAGGGTTGCCAGCTATGGGTTAGGAAATACCTGGAGATTTGGGGGTGGAGACTGAGGAGGGCGGGGTTTGGGGAGGGGAGGGACTTCCATGGGGTAAAATGCCATAGAGTCCACCTTCCAAAGTGGCCGTTGTGATCCTGCCTGTCCTTCATGGAGCTCAGGGCTGTATCTGGTTCTCCCTTCTTCCATGTTATCCTCAACTGAGGTAGGACAGGCTGGAAGAGAGTCAAAGAGCACTCAGAGAGGTTCATGGCTAAGTAGGGATTTGATTCTGGGTCACCAAGGCCCTATTCTGAGATGCTAACTACGAAAGCAGCAGGAGCAACCACACTGTTGGTAGCAATACCGGGTTTTTTTAACTGGGGTAGGGGTGGGGAGGAGAGAAGAGAAACTTCATGAAACCCCTTTCCTTTGGATAAAGACTCTGAGTCCTGGCTGCCACCAAGGTCATACCCATGGCCTAGGGTTGACCACCTCCAGGTGGTGCCTGGAGATCTCCTGCAATTACATCTGACCTCCAGGTGACAGAGATGGGTTTTTTTAACTGGGGTAGGGGTGGGGAGGAGAGAAGAGAAACTTCATGAAACCCCTTTCCTTTGGATAAAGACTCTGAGTCCTGGCTGCCACCAAGGTCATACCCATGGCCTAGGGTTGACCACCTCCAGGTGGTGCCTGGAGATCTCCTGCAATTACATCTGACCTCCAGGTGACAGAGATAAGTTCACCTGGAGAATATGGTCACTTTGGAAGGCGGATTCTTTGGAAAGTGGACTCTAATACCCCATTGAAGCCTCTCCTCTCCCCAAACCCTGCCCTTCTAAGGCTCCACCCTCCCACATCTCCAGGTATTTCCCAACCCGGAGCTGGCAACCCTACCATGGACTCCCGTTGTTGCTGGATGCCATTTTATGGTTGCTAAAGAGATGTGGGAGCCAGGCCACCTAGCTGCTGTCTCTGCTGCCCAAAACACAGAAGGGGAAAGAAGACTGACTGCCATTTTGAACTGAAGCTGACTTGTTCCATGCCACAGAGGGAAAAGGAGGTGTGTCAGTGCTTATGGCTTGAGCCTCAGTAATACAGTCACACAAAGTGTGTCTGTCTGGCTTGCTCTCACCACAGAAGGGTGTGTTTGTGTGTGTGTGTGGGGAAACCTTGGCGCTGGTTTGTGTTTCAAGAAAAGCACTTCACACCAGGTGCTCTCTCTCATAGCTTAACCTACCTTGCAGGGTCGTCGTGAGTGTAAAATGGAAGAGAGGAGAACCTGTCTTATGTTACCTGGAAGAAGGGTGGGGTGGAAATGCAAGAGACAGACATGTGGCACGGATTAGAAGAGATCGATTTAATTTTCATAATTTTATTTTTATTTTTCAAACATTTGTGTCTTCATAAGTTTCAATATCAGAGATGGATAAGTGTTCAATATGCTTTTCCTTTGTAGGTCAGAGTATGACTTAGGTTTGTGCTGACAGAGAAGGAGTGGAGTAAACATTCTTATCAGTTTTCTTGGCTGGAGTAGCTGTTTGGCTGTCTGGTTGCCTTAATGAAACTTGACTGTATCGCTAATGGGATAAGGGAGGAAGGGTCTAGACATGAATGTATTTACTTAATCTCACTTCTAGTATAAGGTTCATATGCTTTACCTATGTTTTGATGCAAAGTTCCAAAGAGTCTGGGTGAAGGGGGATTTCTATTCCTTATCTGAAAATAATACTTTTTGCTTTGGTATGAAGAATCCTTGGTTAAAGGTGAAGAAGACTTCTTTGTTCTATGTCAAGTAAACAATTAAGATACTATGTAGCTACACCTCTTATTGTAACTGACCAATGAATGTATGTCCACAAAAATGATGCCTCTTTACCTGTACCAATGAAGATTTCTGTATGTTATCATTTTGCTTATGTCATTGGGTATAAAACCTTATGTTCTTCCTTGCTAAAGTCAGAAAGCAGTTGTTTTTGGTGTGCAATTATAGTCTAGCACTGTTTTCCTATTTGCTGCAATACATATTAAGAACTTTTCCTCCTCTCTGGCACTTCACTTGTGTTGTTCTTTTCGGGCCGGGGGACCTGCGAGCCACATTTGTGGAACAGACATTTTGAATTTTTCTTTCTGTTACATAAAAGGTTACAGATCTGCCTATAATCTTTGCCTGTTCAACGGTACCGTATGCCCCAAGATCATTTACTGATAAAATATATTAAACAAACTAAATATATAACCCATGTTGGCTTGCCAACTCTGGACTGGGAAATTCCTGAAGACTGGAGGGCAGTGCCTATGGAAGGGCGAGTTTGGGGAGGGATTTCACCTAGAATCCATGGTATATTGTAGAGTCTACTGTGACGAACTGACCTCCAAAACCAGGATGCTTTAGTGCATCAGATTCAGAGAGTGGAGAAATTAGTGGTTAATGCCTCACTGTAAAGCACAGTTTGATTGATGGGCTGCTGCCTGCGTGCATCCCCCCCCCCCTGATTGGTCAGCACCAGCTGAGGAGAGTTTTACAAAGTCTTGTCAGTCTTGTCAGGGGAAGTCGGTTCTCATTTGGACTTTGGCTTTGCAATAGCCAGTCAGGAGGAGAGTGTGTGTCGGTCTGAAGGGAACAGACAAGTCACTTGAGAAGTGAAGGGACACAACTCCTTCCCTGACTGTGTACCAACACTTTTGAGGAAAAGTTCAGAAATCAGAACTTAATGTCTAAGTGTCAGCTTTAGCTGAATTCCATTTATTCACAGTCTCCAGAAATGGGGCTTAGGTTTGACAAAAGAGCCTGGACAGGAGGTTGAAAATTGCCAGCCCAGCCAAACAGAAAAGGATTATTGCTCCTTGAAGAAGGATGATATTTCTTACCCAGTTATTCAGAGGGTTCAGCTCAGAAGGGACCCTGGTTTGTGTGAAAAGGTCTTAGACTCCTCAAGGGTATAAAAGGGAAAGTTATAATCCCACATGGAAAGTATTTAAATACAGGAAGAAAGTACTAACTTCCAGGAAACTAAGACACATTGTAGCTGAAATCTCCAAGACAAAACTCTCACAGTTAAGAACTGAGTCTCTATAAGCTTCAACTATACTCTGTTGCCTGTTCAAAATATAATAATTTGTTTAAACAGCAACAGTTACCTCAACTTCTTGTTCCCTGCCCTATTCCTATCTCAACTGTGCCTGTTAAATAAAATCAAGCTTTCTGTTGAATTTTACTGGGTGTCAAGTGCCATTTCCAAAGGGATTTATAGGAGGGCTCCTGCTTAGTTACAGTAAATCTCTGGCCTGGGCAAAAGCCAAATCATTTCTCTATCACAGGGTGGGACACACAGAAAGTTATAATTCTAATATTAAAATACACAAGAGGTTCCTCAGTCAGAGTGGGGAACAGTGTTGAAGAAGAAGGGTCCATCATATCTACCTCCAAAGCTGCCTTTTTCCTTCCAGGGGCACTGGTCTCTGTAGTCTGGACATTAGTTGTAATTCCAGGAGATCTCCAGGCCCCACCCAGAGTCTGGCAACCCAAAACCCACAAGATGTGGCAGTAATTTCTTGTAGCCAGAAAGAAATGAAACTTGGCAACTGGATATCAGGCATGCTGTGGTGATATGATATGCCTACACTGCTAGGATTCCCAACCTCGGGGGGGGGGGCTGGAGATAGGCTTGCCAAGTCCCCCCGGGGGGCGGGGAAATCCCCGCCCCAGAGGCCCATTTCCCGCCGCTGGCGGATCGGGCCCCAGGGGGAACTCCACCCCGACATGCACGTCACCTGGAAGTGATGCGGGCATGCTGGGGGCGGGGCCACGGTCGTCCGTGGGATAACTCTATGGTTTTCCCTCGGATGGTCGTGGCCCCGCCCCCAGCGTGCCCAGCGTGCCCGCGTCACTTCCGGGCGACGTGGATGTGTGCACTTTGCGTGTGCGCGTGCGCTCCAGCCGCCTGCTGGGAGTCCCCCACTGTGGTTGAATTCACACTTGGCATCCCTAGCTGGAGATCTCTTGGAATTACAACTGATCTCCAGAAATGTGGAGAAATCTGTTCCCCTTGAGAAAATGGCTGCTTTGGAATGTGGACTGTATGGCATTATACCCAGCTGACGTCCCTTCCCTCCCCAAACCCTGCTTTCCCCAAACTCTGCTCCCCAAACCCTGCTTTCACCAGGCTCTGCCCCCTCCCCAAATATCCAGGAATTTCCTAACCCAGAGCTGGCAACCCAAAGCTTTGCCTTGCTAATCTTGTGAGAACTCCCCCCAAACCCCTGCACCACAAAAATCTGTATCTATATGTATAAATCAGTAGAGTTGAATCTGGGTGGGAAACACAGAAATCAGACTAGACCCAGAACACCACAGCACAGTCCAGTGGTTTTGGAATGAGAGACAAAGCAGACAGAAACTCCAGGGATGAGCACTATTTGCCACACATCTGGACTGGACTCAGGCGCAACACAGGAGGACACACAAGAACCCATGAAGCTGTCTTATCACAGAGACAGACTCTTGGTTTATCCAGGTCAGCAGTATCTCCTCTGACTGGCAAAATGTTTTCCAGGGTGTCAGGGAGAGGTCTTTCACATTACCTGCTACCTGATGCTTTTAACAGAATATTGTTGTTTTTGCCATCAAGCCACAGCTGATTTATGTTAACCCTGTAGGGTTTTCAGAGCAAGAGACGTTCAAAGGTGGTTTGCCATTGCCTGCCTCGGCGTCACAACCCTGGTATTCCTAGGACGTCTCCCATCCAAATATTAGTCAGGGTCAACCCTGCTTAGCCTCCAAGCTCTGACGAAATCAGGCTAGCCTGATCTAACTATTGAATCTGGGACTTTCTGCATGCAAAGCAGGTGGTTCTTCCACTGAACCATGACCCTTCCCCAGACATACTCAGTGTCTTCATATTATAGATGCAAACTCTATGGACTGAGGAATCAGGGAACCGGCAAACATGCTGGCTCCCTCTACTGAGGCCTTTTGGTATAAAAGGAATGCGCATTTGTTCCATCCGGTCTTCATGTAGCATTTAATCTGACACTGCTACACGTTTTGGTTTTGTTCTCTGGAGTGCTGTTTTTCTTTTAGAAAGCAATGATTTCATTTGAACTGTTTATGTTTTTCAATCTTACCCATTTTGTTAAGTGGCAAATCACTTTGAACACCCCCTCAGTAAACAAGCGGTCTAAAATGTAAGCATGAAACAGCAGCAAAGTCATACCTGCAAGCTTTCGTATAGGAAAGGGGGGAGGGTATAGAACCATGATACAGAAGGAAGACAAATTTAGCAGAAGGATCTGGACTCTGCTGGAAAGTAGGGTTGCCAGCTCTAGGTTGGGAAATACCGGGAGATTTGGGGGATGTAGCCTGGGGAGGGCAATTTGGGGAGGGGAGGGACCTCAGTGGGGTACAATGCCATAGAGTCCACCCTCCAAAGCAGCCGTTTTGTCCAGGGAAAGTGATCTTGGTTGTCTGGAGATCAATTGTAATAGTGGGAGATCTCCAGGTACCACCTGGAGGCTGGCAACCCTATGACAGGAAAGGAGAAATTAACGCTGGAAGGAAGACCAGTCACTTTGCTTAGTGGTGACTGGAGAGTGGAGAATGGCTTTTGCAGCAGGTAAACAGAGGGTGGTTTGGAGGCTCTTGCAATACCTAGCAGACATGTATTTGTTTTTTTCCCTGCCATGTGGCTTCACTAGCTGAAGATCTATGCTCTTCGGACTGCTTTCTGGCAGGCACCAGCTCCCATCTCTTGCTTGTGAGCCGTCAGGGGGCTGAATGTCAGCAGGGGGTTGGCTTAAGGGCCGGTCTCCTCATTACAAAGTACTTCTGTTTGCCGGAGTATGACACAAGGGTTTTGTACCACATGGGCAATGGGATAGTCTGACTTCCCAGGTGCGTCCTGGCCACTTTCTGCTTGCAAGCACGGCAGGTGGAGAGAAGTGGCCTCAGCCTCCTCCCCCCTTGCACTGTTTTTGTTTCCTCAAATGGCCCCCATGGATCCACTGTTGGCTCTGTTGCAAAAATCATGTTCCTTTTGAGGCTACATGTTTTTGCGACGATACCGAAAGCAGTTCCATAGGGCCAGGGGTCATTTCGTAGAAAAAGAGGTGCAGGAGCTCATTAGCATAATTTATTAGCATAACTTATTTGCATATGCCACAGCCCCTGACATCACCGGAAGTGTGTCAGAAGGCAACAGCCAGCACTCAGGCTCCACTGGACTGTTTTGGATTGCTAGCTATTGGGGGGGGGGACGTGCAGATCTGTCCTCACAGAGGAGGGAGAGCTTGTACCTGAATAAAACTTGGTCTTAAAGGTGCCACTGGACTGTTTTGGACTGGGGAGCGGGGGGGGGGCTCTGCAACTTACCTGGCTGCTTCTTGCTCTGTCTGAAGGCTGCTGGGAACAGGGGGTGGAGCTTGTTGCATGTGCCCGCCCCCTGGGCTCTTTACTGCCGGAGCTCCGCTCCTGTGCACTCCTGCAGGAAATGACCCCTGCATAGGGCAATCTGAGGGGGTGAATGATCCACGAGTGCTGCAGGCTTCGTTATCAGCTCAGGGGAGAGAAGGTGCGAAGCAGCCAGACTATTACATTTCCCTGCATGCCCCAGCTGTGAGTAGAAAAGTGCCAGCATACATGTGAGAGGCACAAAACTCCAACTGCATGTGCACACGCTGCCCTCCAGCGAATGACGATTTTGTAGCCTGGAGTCTGACCCTTTGTGGGGGGGGGGGAGGGGAGATAGGGTAAGATATCCACAGGGGTCTATAAGATTCTAGTACTGAATAAGTCTAGGATTGCTACAAGCCTACCCAGTTCCACTCTGTAAAAACTCTTCAGTTCACCCGAATGGGACCCCTTCTTCTCGGGGGCCAGCCTTTGCCTGGAATCGGCAACGACCACAGGACAGGTGAAGGCTTCAAGACTGCTCATCTTGGCGTTGCTATCCAATGGCAGGTCTCAAGGGAAAAAGGGGCAACACATGACGCTCCGCTTCTGAGATCCTCCTCCCATGACTCCTCCCTTCTTCTCGGGGGTTGCCATAGATGCCCTGGCTGTGACATCATCGGTTCTGAGTCACCGTGAGAAAGAGTTGTAATACCAGCTCTGAGCCATTGAATGCAATAAGCCAATTGACACGCAGCTTTTTTTTTTTTTTACTCCTGACTTAGAGATCCAGCTATAGGCTGGCTTGTAAGAACCAGTATGATAGGACAGAGAGAAATGGTCCCTCTTGGCTTAATGTTCTGTATCCTTCAAGAGGCCAGCCCAGAGGACCAGGAGAATTCACAAGCAGGACATATGGCAATGTCCACTCTGTTGCAGGTCATCAGAATATACTGTAGTGTCTTTGAACACAGAGGTTGCTGGGTGACGTTGGGCCAGTCACACACTTTCAGCCTAACCCGCCTCACAAGGCGATTGCGAGAATGAAATGGAGGCTGTTGTAGCTGTTAACTACCAATCCTTCAGGCCAGGACCAGATGCTGATTGGCTGGTGCTTCTCTCAGTCACAAAACCACTCCCCCTTCTCTGTCAGAGCAGTGTTTCAAGCTGAAACAAAAATCCTTTTAGGCTGCAGAATGTTTTACACTCTAGGTGAGTTTTGTAACGGTTTATTAATTTTAATGACAAATTTATGTTTTCTTAATTATTGTGTCAAATTGTACTTTGTAAAGGCAGCAGGAAAAGAGGAAGACCCAACATGAGGTGGATTGACTCAACTGAGGGAGCCACGGCCCTCAGTTTGGAAGACTTGAGCAAGGCTGTTAACGAGGAGATGTTTTGGAGAACATTCGTTTACAGGGTCACCATAAGTCAGATGCAACTTTTTAAAACTTTGTGTTTATTTTTGAAAAAACGGTGGTTTTTTTTGTTTTTTTTTTACAAAAAATACAGTAACATCATTGTTGGAACAGACCCAACAAAAACAAACCCCAAAACGAAACCAAAAACCTTTGCCTTAATGCAAACATCAACCAGTTTTAGAGTGCAAAACAAAAAAAGTGCTGAAGTAACTTAAGAGACAGAATTCCAAACTGTAACAATTTGAAAACATACAGATACAGTTGTTTGATTGATACTGACTAGTATATAAGAGAAACCTTAATCAACAAGTTACAGAATAACAGATGGCATATTAGAAAACACCATGAGGGGATCAGGTTGGATTTCACCAGCATTTGTCTCCTGTAAACCAATAGTTAAAAGAATATTAAAGCATGGTAGTATTTGTTTTTAGGCAGGATGTCAAGTTCAGTGAGATATTGGACAGTAGGGAACCAGAGCAACACAAAAGTCAGATGGAATGTGATGACACTTAACACACACACACACACGAGACACCTTGAGCAGGTGTCTGGAAAGGTGGCCTATACATATTCTAAATAAATAATAAACAAACAGTCCCGCTGACAGTGGGATGAAAGTTTTCTGCAAAATTCTCTGTGTTTTTTTTGGCCAGGACACATTCAAATGAAGTCTTCAATCTACCTTTGGCTTTAAGAATGTAGAAAGTTTTGCATGTTTTGGGACTGGAGTTTTGGGAGTTTTTTTGTTTTTTTTGAAAATGACAGCTATTCACACCATCATGAAATAATTAGTGGAGGCATCATACGAAACAAAAAGCAACAACGCAGAACAGATGATGATAAAGGTAAGAAAAAAACCCAACTTCTCTCTCAGATTTGCTTTTGAATGAAAAATGTTTATATGGAGCCCAAAGTTTAGGCCCATCTCCTGCATACGATACACCGGCTGCGGTCACATGCACGAGATAACGCGCGGGGGAAGCGAGGCCATTTACCCCGGAGGAAATTGACCCGCAGTTGTGTGATCACACAGTTCTTTGAAGCTGTGGGCGTAGCCTGCCACTGCGCGATCAGACGCAATCATGGGTGAGTCGGGGGTGTTTTTTTGCCGCTTGTTTTTGATTCGCTTAAACGGAGGATCACTGAATCACGTCTCCACACTGAGGGCTTCCTACGGCAGTATGCGATGATGCACATACTAAGGAGGGGGGAAAAACAATGGCACGGAGTCGGGATGCCTTGATCAGACCATCCCGACGCCATGAGAGCGCGCTGAAGCGATCACACAGGGAAAAGTCCGTCTATGGCCCATCGCAACCCATTTGCTACTGGTCTTTCCCCAATGTCTTTTTACTCCACTTCTGCAGCGGAGCAAAATGGGTTGCCGACGGGTGCAGGGCGCTGGGCAGATGTTTGCATCTGATTGTGCCCTTTAAATCTGCCCGGCATTCATGCCTATGGTGCTGTTAATTGTGTGTGTGACCATTTGTTTTTTCTGTTTAGCTGTTATCAGGTTCTGAGCTACATTTACACTGAGCTACCATTCCTGGGGTAAAATGTTGCCTGTCCTGCTCCTTTAGAACTTAGGGAAGCCAAACCTCTTGCCCTGCTCCTGTGGAAACAGTCTGGAATCTGCACAGGTTTGCAACAAGCCCAGTAGCCTTTTCTGGGGGGGGCTCTTGGCTCGCTAAGTGTGGTGTGTGAAGCATTGTTCTCCAAATTTAACCTAAATTGAGCTTGTGATGTTTGTCTAAAATTTCTCGTTCAGAAAAATGCAGTGACACTGTTCCACACTCAGACGTTGCTCTGGAAAGTGGGATTGCTCCACTTAGGATCTTGTTTTCACTTCATTTATATTCCGTTTTGCTCCCCAATACAGACCCAATGCAGCTTACATCATTCTCCTCTCCTCCATTTTATTCTCACAACAGCCTTGTAAGGTGGGTTAGGCTGAAAGTATGTGACTGGCCCAACGTCACCCAGCAAGCTTTCAGGACACAGTGGGGATTCAAACCTGGGGTCTCCCAGATTATGTCCAGCACTTTAAATGACTAGACCATGCTAGATCTGAGCCAGATCTTCCCAGTCCACTGTAAACAGCCAGTTGGTTATCCATGTTTTCAGTATCCAGGTATGCCCTCATGATGTATACCTGAAACACAAATAGTATAACCGTGTGGGCATTCTTTTAGTAGGGCACTGAAACAGGACACAGACAATGAGGTTGTCTAGGAGGTATGCCAAACCTGAGTTACCTGGCTTGAAGATGGTGTAAATTAAGCCAGAGGACAATATGAACCACAGCCATGTATTTCTTGAAGCATTCTGTCCTCTGCCATTTCGACTCCTTCTCTTCTTACATCCCAAAGTTCTGGAGTCTGCAGGATCCTCACAACAGCCTCCTCGAAGGCACCCTGCACGCCCTCCTTCATTTTAGCGCTGGCTTCTAGGCAGAAACAAACAAGAAGTGCCTTCATTGCTTGGCACAGATTATGAAGCAAGGCATGGTCACTCTGGATGACCCCAGGGTATCCACCAAGCCATCTGTGAACAACTAATAAGGGGAAGAGAGCTGCTTGATTTGCCACTCTACTTCAGTGTCACAAATTAAATCAGAAACATGGACTATGTTAGCAGGGGGAGACACTGGGAATAGAACCAAGCAGTGAGTGAAGGACTGGAAACATGAGTGGCCAGGAGAGGGTGCTACTGTAATGTAATCATGTAAGAATTCCTGCGGGGTGGCCATGATAGTCTGTTGCATCCTGGGGCTATGATGATTTCACTGTTCCTCACAGGGTTTCCCCTTATCTTGTTCTTTGGGGAGCAGCCCCTTTTTCCTTTGTCTTCTTTGTTTTCTCTGGCTGTTCTACCCAGTCATTTGGATGTATATTGTTAGATGCCGACCCTGCCTAGGGAACTGAGGGGAGAGACTAAAATCCTTCTTTTCTTCCTGGTTTGATAATGGCACATGAGAGGCTGATAGTAAATCACAAATAACAAACTTTTAAATTTCACTTTGAGGGGAAATGGTCAGGTAGGAATCAGGTTCAGGACTTATGAGGTAAACAGGCAACAGGAATGAACAATGTTTTATTCCAACATCAATTTATGTGGGAATAAAATTTTGTTAATCTTTAAGGTGCCACTAGGCATCTGTTCATGGGTGATTTACACATTACAGAGTACACAGGTTGGGTCTGGGGACCTCACTTTGTTTCCTATGTAAAGGCCATGCAAGAGTTTCTCAATTCACAGTACCCAATTTGGGTGATGGTTGTGGGGTGTGTGATGTAAAGGCTTCAGTATCTCCCCCGTACATTTTAATAGGAAATGGTCTTGGGTGGGGTGCTATTTGTCCTGTTAGAGAAGCCCAGAAGTGTACTTGACAGGCCAAACGGTGAAACCTGGAGAACCGCTGCAGCAGATGGCACTGTTAGTCTATTTGCCAACACGAAGGCTCAGGTGTACAAATGCAACTGATGAAAAAAGTCTAGCAGCAACTACAGCAATGGTTATGAGTGACAGATATTTCAAACAAAGTACTTATAGTGATTCAAGATCTGTAATGTAAAGTTAGAGCTAGATCCTAAATGGCTATTATTGGAAATACCTTCTTATAAGGATATTGATACACCAAAGCTTAAGCTTATTTCAGCTTTTTTGGCAACGTCATGTTTGTGTATTGCAACAAACTGGAAGAAGGCTAAACCTCCATATTTAATACTGTGGAAGCTTAAAACTTGGGACCTTATGGTTATGGAGAAGATCTCTCTTACGGTTAACCCTGCAGGTTCAAATTCTAAGTTATATCACTTTTGGAGCATGGATGTCTCCTATGAATGAAATGTCATAAAGATGGGGAAACCCCCTCCAAATATAGGTTTTATTTTTCATGACTGTTCAATCTATATTTCCTGAGTGTATTTTATTTGCTTGTTTTAATGAGCATAGGACTGAACATATTGTCAAAAGTTTCTGCTCTGCTACATTTGTTGTGTTTGATTTGATTTTAAGTACGTCGGAATTTGTTTTGTTGTTAAGATTTTTGTCGTTTAAAATACAAAATTATTTTAAAAATGAGTGACAGATATTTAATCGGAAAAAGCATGAATTACAGAAGGAAGGGGAAGTCTGATTGCCTAGAAATTTAAACAGTTGTCTCTTGTACAGGGGGCCTCATTGTGAACTGAATTCTCCAATAGCTATTTGTCAATTAAAGGACTAAAGCTTAGAACCATAAATTAAAATAGGTGTTTTATTTTATTGCTGTCAAGTTGCAGCTGAGTTGTGGCGACTCTTAGTGGCATTTTCAGGGCAAGAGATGTTCAGGGGTGGTTTTCCATTGCCTACCTCCAAGTCATGACCCTGGTATTCCTTGGAAGTCTTCGCATCCAAACACTAGCCAGGGCTGACCCTGCTTAGCTTCCGAGATCTGATAAGATCGGGCTAGCCTGGACTATTCAGGTCAGGGCAGATGTTTTATACTTTCCCCTCTTTTCTTTACCATATTATTCTGAAATAGATCACTGCATATATATAAATATTTCCAGGAAAAAAGCGTGGAAAACAGAAACTTAGGAGGCAGGCTGAGTTTATGCATTTATTTTCCATGAAGGTTTTCTTTAAGAAATCTCAGCAGTTTGTCTGTGCTCATTTCCCCCCCAGTAGAAGTGCTGAGAGACACGTTCTGTCAATAGCTGTTTTAAAAATCCGCAGTGGATGTTCTCCTTCACCACATGGGGGCACATTTGCACAAGCATTAACCACCAATAGGGAGAGAGATGTCTAAACTTACAGTTAGAAATGCATGTTAAAAAGTGAACACAGAAGAGCTTTGTGGGTTTTCTTTTTGAGTGGTCCAAATATCGGGAGGGAAAGGGGGCATATAGAGGAGCAGGGGTATGTATCTGTGTGCGCTCACATGAGAGCAAGCGAGAGAGATCTGCTTGCAGTTACCAGGGATTTTAGAAAATCATTTCCCACAGCTGACAGAGGCTGGCAACCCTACCCAGCCAGTTTCTATGGCAGAGATTCAGGCCCGGGCCTCCCAGACCCTAGTCTGACACTCTAACCCATACACCACACCGGATATAAGGTTGCTGTTAATTGTAAAAAGACAGTTTCCCAAACTACCCTGTTCCAGTATTACAGCCCTGGCAAACCAGCCGACTCAGTCTCAGGTTTCCTCCACCTACCTATGAAAAGCATGGAGTGAGTTCGAGCAAACTGCAAGCCTTCCTTTCGGTCTACCTCACGGTCAGGCTAGGGATAAGGAGAGAAGGCTGTTAGAGCTCGTTGCATTTGCTGAAACCCTCAAGAGACTGGCTGGGGCTGCTTTCTGCAAGAAGCCACGGTGGTTCAGTGCATATGGAGTTCATTGGAACCAGGACCTATGACTGCTGAGGTGGCCTCTGCCGTAAACTGATCATGTAGCCTTGGGCAAGTCTCTGTTTTTTAGATAGGGTTGCCATATCCAGGTTGGGGAACTCCTGGAGATTTGGGGATGGAGCCTGTGGAAGACAGGGACCTCAGTGGGGAGCAATGCCACAGAGTCCACCCTCCAAAGCATCCATTTTCTCCAGGGAATTTGGGGGACTGATCTCTGTAGTCTGGAGATGAGCTGTAATTCTGAGGGTTCCCCAGGTCCCACCTGGAGGTTAGCATTCCTATTTTTGGACTCTGTTGCCTATGTCTAGAATGAGGGAAAAATGGCAAACCTGCCTCCAAAAATTGCTGCACAAATGAACACAGGACTGCAAAGCATTTTACAAACTTGTTAAAAACGCAACAGTTATTTTGATTGGAATAATGATTGGATGCTCCCGCATGCGTTCAAGGTCGGCCCAACCGCTAAGCAAAGCTAGGCCTTCGCCTAGGATGCCAGATGTTGAGGGTTGCCAAAAAGTGAGAGAAGCCTCCTTCACTGCTTCAATGATGGGAACTTTGACTCTCGAAAACTTAATCCCTGAAGCTCTTGTTGGCCTCTAAGTTTCTGCAGGACTCGAATCTAACTGTTCTATTGCACAATACACGAACTTATGGGCACTCAATGAAATTGCTGAGCACTTGGGGTAGAAGGGATAAAAGGAAGTACTTCTTCACCCAAAGAGTGATTAACACATGGAATTCACTGCCACAGAAGGTGGCGGCGGCTACAAGCATGGACAGCTTCAAGCAGAAATTGGATAAACATATGGAACAGAGGTCCATCAGTGGCTATTAGCCACAAGGTATAGGTAGGAACTCTGGAGCAAGTGATGCTCTGTATTCTTGGTGGTTGGGGGGGAGGCAACAGTGGGAGGGCTTCTAGTGTCCTGGCCCCACTGGTGGACCTCCTGATGGCATGTGGTATTTTTGGCCGCTGTGTGACAGAGCGTTGGACTGGATGGGCCATTGGCCTGATCCAGCATTGGCTTCTCTTATGTTCCTATGTAGACCAACACGGCTGCCCTTCGAAACTATTGAAAATAACTGTCTGTTAGATTCTCTGGCCTCCTGTAGTTCCCATGATGGAACACGGAGGCCCTTTAAAGAGCTTTGTTTAATTTTTCATTTTACACTGAAGAATGATCAGTAAGTAAAACTTTTCTCTCTATGGATACCTACTCCGTCCAGTACCAGAGGAAGCTTGTTGTTGTTGCCATCAAGTCACAGCCAACCTATAGCGGCTCCGACTGGGGTTTTCAAGGCAAGAGGCTTCATAGCTGATTGGCCATTGCCTGCCTCTGTGTGGCAACCCTGGTGTTCCTTGGAGGCCTCCCATCCAAATACTATCTAGGGCCGACCTTGCTTACCTTCCGAGACCTGAAGATCGGGCTAGCCTGGGCTATCCAGGTCAGGGGCCAGAGGCAGTGTGTCTCTTTAAATCAGTTGCTGAGGAGCACAGGCAGGATAATCCTGTTGCAGTCCTCCTGCTTGTGGGTTTCCTAGAGGTAGCTGGTTGGCCACTGCCTGAACAGAAGGCTGGACTTGACGAGCCTTTGGTCTGATCCAGAATGGCTCTTCGTATGCTTATTGACTGGGGGTGTCAAAGTCATTGTTTGACTGGGGTGCCAAAGTGACCATGGGCAGACCCTCTGTGCTCTGGCTTTGTTGGAGGTTGAAGAGGGTTGGAAACAAAAGAAAACCTGGCTTGGGGGGAGGGGGCTTTTATGTTCCTGGATAAACAACGGCAGGTGATCATCCCTGAGAAGTGCCAGATTCACAGTTTGAAAGGGAAAGACGGTAGTCCATGAATCACCAACAAACAGCCTGGAATTCATCACGTGGGCTCACCAGGGACTGCTCTCTCGAGGCAGCTGAAACAAGAGCTTCAGGATCTTATTGGTGTGAATATCCCACAGGGATCATGGAGGGAAGGAGGAACGGAAACCTTTCTGACTTTCCCTCTCTCCTTCCTGCCTACTCGAATCTATTCTGGGCACATCACATGTATCTTTGACTTTCTGCACTGAAGCTGCTGGAAACTGGCATGTGCAGATGGTGGGGCAATATTTTAAGCCTCCTGAATTGAGGGTCTTGCTGGTTGCCTTGTGTGGGGTCAGGAAGGAATCTGACCACCGGTCAGAAAGTTAGTAATGAATAATCCCAGGTGGTTTCATTCTGGCATCCAGCTTTCCTTGGCCTGCATAACAACTCTGCAAGGCAAAATTCTGTTGCCTCCTCTTGTTTATTCTGTTTTTTTGGTTTGTTCTCCAAACAAAACACCAATTAACACAATATAGAGCACACAGGTTGCATCTGGGGTCCTCAGCCCAGTAGATGTCCCTGTCTGTTGCCTGTGGCCCCACTAAGGGCTGGTGGGGGATTTTTTTTTTAAAGTGACATCACCAGGGGTCACTTCGCAGAAAAAAGAGGTGCAGGCGCTCATTAGCATAACTCATTAGCATAACTTATTTGCATATGCCACACCCCCTGACATCACTGGAAGTGTGTCAGAAGGCAACACCCACCGCTCAGGCTCCACTGGACTGTTTTGGATTGCTAGCTATGGGGGGGGGGAGCGCAGATCTGCCCTCACAGAGGAGGGAGAGCTTGTTCCTGAAGGCGGGCAGAGCGGGGGCTCTGTAACTTACCTGGCTGCTTCTTGCTCCTCATGGCCCGACTGAAGGCTGCTGGGAGCAGGAGGTGGGGCTTGTTGCATGTGCCCGCCCCCTGGACTCCTTACTGCCAGAGCTCCGCTCCTGTGTGCTCCCGCAGGAAATGACCCCTGGACATCACTTCTGGCAAATACCTGGAAGTGACATCACATCACCAGAATACCACTGGTGTGATGCTCTAGGATTTGGACAAAACTGTCGTAATCATAGATCATTGCACTGATGTCACACCAGTGTGATGTCACTTCTGGGTATTTGTGGGACGTGACATAATGTCATTTCCCCTGTCCCCATCCCTGCCCCTCCCTCTCCCTCTGGTTGTTACCCAATGGCTAGCAACCCTAGTCCTCTATTCCTGTACGAGGGGTGCCCAATTTGGATTGGGACAGGGGTGCACGTGGAGAAAGGCCTTCAACCTTCCAACCTGTTTTCCCAACCTGAAGCAATCCGGGCATGAGGTAGATTCCTCAATGGGCCAAATAGCCCTCCCAGAACACTTTAGGTTAGGAAAATGGTGTGTGTGTGTGTGTGGGATGCTGAACCCTACTCTATTTGCACCCCAGTCATGTTCTGGATTGGGCACCCCTCATGAAGAAGAAGAGTTGGATTTATACCTCACCCTTCACTCGGAGTCTCAGAATGACTTACAATCTCCTTCCCTTCCTCTCCCCACAACAGACACCCTATGAGATAGGTGGGGCTGAGAGAGCTCTGAGAGAACTGCTCTTGAGAGAACTGCTCTGAGAGAACTGTGACTGACCCAAGGTCACCCAGCTGGCTGCATGTGGAGAAGTGGTGAATCAAACCTAGTTCTCCAGATTAGAGTTCACCGCTCTTAACCACTACACCAAACTGGAGAACTTACAACTTACTCCTAGGGTTGCCAGCTCTGAGTTGGAAAATAACTGGAGATTTTTGGGGGTGGAGCCAGGGGAGGGGTTTGGGAAGGAGAGGGACCTCAGCAGGGCATTATGCAATAGAATCCACCCTCCAAACCAGCCATTTTCTTCAGGGGAACTGATCGTGGTTGTCTGGAGATCAATTGTAATAGCAGGAGATCTCCAGGTGCCACCTGGAGGATGGCAACCCTACTCACTCCTGACAGTTCCACAGGGTGGAACCCCCTTAGGGTTGCCAGCTCTGGGTGGGGAAATACCTGGAGTATTTGGGGGTGGAACTTGGGGGCTGCAGGGTTTGGGGAGGAGAGGGAATTCAGCAGGGTACAATGCCATAGAGGCGGCCCAGAGCAGCCATTTTCTCCAGAGGAACTCATCTGTATTGCCTGGAGATCAATTCTCATAGAGGCAAATCACCCAGCCCCACCTGGAGGTTGGTAACCCTAGAACCCAAAATCTGTATGTGTGAAAAAGAATTCCCTCATTCAGAACAAAGTAAAGGAATTTGAAAGGCTACTGAAAGATGGTCACAAGGCCTAGGCCTCCCACTTGCCCCTGTGGACTCCTTTCTTCATCAGGATGGGAGACTTTGGGATCCACACCACAAATACACCAGGGATCTCCAAAAAGCAAAGCAAAACAAACCCACCTAGCCATGGAAATCAAGGGATTAAGAAAAGGAGGCCCCTGGCTTTAGAGACAGACGGAAGAGATTGCCCATAAAAGATAGAGAGGGTGGCTGATGGAGAGATACGGCCTCCAGAGTCGATGCATGGAAGCAGCTGGAACTGGGGATGAGGCAGGGAGCAGGAATCCACAGGCAGGCTGAGACAGGACTCCTGACTGTTAGGAAGCAGGGACGAGGGAGGGGGAAGGGCAGCCCAGCCTCTGAATCCGTGAGCTGAAGCTGCATGGGGCGCAGCGAGGACTTGTTCAGGCGGACTGCTCTCTGCAGCTAGCCCACCACGGGCAGAAAGCAGCCTGGGTGAACTGTCAGCGGACAGCACCAGGGGCACCCAATGCAAATCACTCCGGGAGCCAAATGTCACCAATTCAAGGGGGCGCTGCACTGCCTCGTGGACACCTGGAAAGTGCCCCCCCCCCCCCCCCGGGTTACAGTGTTAATTCATTCCTCAACAGCCTGGCTGCGGCATTCTGCACCGGCTGCAGCTTCCCAATTTGCGACAAGGGCAGCCCCATGTAGAAAGTGTTACAGTAGTCTAGTCTTGAGGTGACCTTTGCATGGCTCACTGTGGCCAGGTCGTTGCAGTCAAGGAAGGGAGCCAACTGCCCAACCAGCCGACGATGGTGAAAGGCCGATTTAGCAGTGGCTGCTACCTGGGCCTCCATTGTTAAAGAGGGTTAGATTATCGTAGGGCAGTATGTGTGGTATAGCCAGGAGATCCTAAGATTGTCTGGCAGGCAGAAGTTCTAGCTCGTTTTATTTATTTATTTATTTCATTTGATTCATGTCCCGCCCTCCCCCACAAGCGGGCTCGGGGTGGGTCACAACATTTCATTAAACATTTCATTAAGTAAACAGGAAAGGATTAAAATGTAAGATATGAAACGTAAAATATAAAACCAAATTTAAATCCAATCAGAGGGATGACAAGTATTCAAGGCAGTTCATAGTGCCCCCTGCACACTGCTAACATAGGTGGTAGTTAATAGCAACCAGTTTCCCGAGGATCCTCTGTTGACCTCTATTAGGCAGGGCAATTGTAACGGGCACTAAGCACTGCGAGCAGTGTGAGCAGGGGAAATCCGCCGCCTCACTAGGTGAGGCGAGCTCGACTCGTTTTTAAGGCAAGAGACATTTCAGAGGTGGTTTGCCATTGCTTGCCTCTGCGTCATAACCCTGGTATTCCTTTGAAGGTGCCCTTCTAAATACTGGCCGGGGCCGACCCTGCTTAGCTTCCGAGGTCTGACAAGATCGAGCTAGCCTGGGCTATCCAGGTCAGGGCTATTCTAACCACTACACCACATTCGCTCTCAGTGCTGGCTTTGGGGACCAACAGTATGACTTAGCATAAGACAGGCTTATCTGGTCTCTCCCTGAAGCCCCTCTCCCCTCCAGAGCACTCTCTCTTTTCTTTCTGGCACCCCTCAGCATGCATGGATTTCTTCCACGTCAGCCCCATTGCGCTTCCTCAGACATCCTCGTTTCTTTGGTTTCCCTGCTCACAGGACTCCCTGCAGTCCCATTTATCAGATACCTCATCTATGCTACTTAGAACACTTCTACTATACCCTTCCTCCAAGGAAAGAGCAAGACTCCAGTAGCACCTTAAAGACAAACAAAATATGTGGCTGGGTATGAGCTTTTGTGAGTCACTACTTGCTTCCCCAAGGAGTTCAGGGTGGTGAACATTGTTCTCCTGTTCCCATGTTAACCTCCCAACCAGTGCTCCCTCTAAGCTGTGGAGTCTTGTGAGCAAAAATTCTACTTTGTGAGCTACTTGCATTAAAGTTGTGAGCGAGCGAGTCGGCTCCTGCATAAAATCAGTTTGCTCTGGAGCCATCCTTCCTGAGCTAGGACAAAAATCTGTGAACTGGAGGCTAAAAAACTGTGAGCTAGCTCACACTAACTCAGTTTAGAGGGAACACTGCTCCCAATTACCCTGTATGGTAGGTGAGGCTGAGAGAAAGAGACTGGCCTCAGGCCAGCCGACAAATTTCATGGCAGTGCAGAGATTTGAAACCAGCTCTCTCAGATCCTAGTCCAACCACGATGCCATGCTGCCCCACCCGTTTCTTTCTCTCTGAATCCCAGGCTACTCTCCTCTCGCTGTACTATCCCAGATCTTGCTCAGTCCTCACCTGGTACTCCCTCCTCCTCCCTGCCTTTTTTCCTGTTCTCCCACCCCAAAGATCCCTCTGCACCTAGATTCCTTGGGAATTTTCCTCCTGGGGAGTTGGAGCCCCATCTGTCATCCCAGAAGAAAGGCCAGATTCTCCCAGCAGTACTAGTCAAGCTGGGGAAAGGGGGAACGCTGGATGGTGTCAAAAAGTCCCCGTGGGTAGGAATGTGCATTCGGTTCGTCCGAACCGAATGCACCCCTGAAAATGGCCCATTTGGACCCCTTTCGGGCTGCTGCAGGCCGATTCAGATTCTCTGATCTGAATCGGCTTGCCTCCGAATTGCCGCCGAATTTCGGCGGCAATTCGGCCGCATTGTATCCTATGGGACATTGAAGTCAATGGCGAAAACATAGGGTATATTTTGGGGGCTAGAGGGGAGGGGGTTGGAGGGAGAGGCTCCAAACTTACCGGTTGGCTGATGGAGCCTCTCCCCAAAATAACAACCAAGTTTCAAGAACATTGGACCAGGGGGTCCAATTTTACGGGCCCCAAACAGGTTGCCCCATCCCCTCCATTGTTCTCTATGGTGGGACTTCAATGGCCCAATGACTTCAATGGCCCATAGGATATAATGGGGCTGAAACTGACATTTGGCTGGCCAAAAGACTCCACATGCAGGAGTCTTTATGCCAGCTGAAATTGATTCTGCCCGATTCAGCCGAATCCGAATCGGGCCAATTTTTTTTTTTTTGCACACCCCTACCTGCGGGATCAGACATCTGGTTTGTTTACTGCCATCCACGCTTAACGGAGGCCTATGGTAGACCTGGCTCAGACTTGTCAGTTTCACACCACTGGGATATTTGCTTTGCGAGGTCATTGTGAACCTTGGGAATAGTAAGATGTTCTGTGATCACTAGTCAACAGGATAAATGATGTAAAGAAGGAAAGGTGAATGAGGGACCCATCTGCAGCTGTGAAATCCAGATTTTTTGTGTTGTCGGCGTGCAGTGTACAGTTTTTAGAGGACCGTTCCCTAATTTTGTAAACCAATTTTATTAATTGTGGGCTACATGTTTGATACTGCTCTTATCACATTTTTGCTGTAGCCCACCTTAAGTCTCAGAAAGAAGTAGAAACAATGTGAGTAAACAAAGACGCCGGCTGTAGGTTGCCTCCTATCTGTTCACACATTACAGAGTACACGGGTCAGGTCTGGGATCCCCACCCTCTTTAGCTGCGGGTTCTTCTCAATTCCCACAAACTGGACACTTTTGCACATGGAAACTGAGGAGAACCTGCAACTCATGTCTGCAACACCGTTTGGGGAAGCCCACACTGAATGTGTGCACTCTGTTAGGTGACAGTCTGTGCTAGGAGAAGGAATCACACTGTCTCTGCCCTTTTGGTGTAGTGGTTAAGTGCGCGGACTCTAATCTGGGAGAACCGGGTTTGATTCCTCACTCTTCCACTTGCACCTGGCTGGATGACCTTGGGCAAGCCATAGTTCTGATAAGAGCTGTTCTTGAAAAAGAGCAGTTTCTGTCAAGAGCTCTCTCAGCCCCATCAACCTCATACAGGGTGTCTGTTGTGAGGAGGGGAAGGGAAAGGAGTTTGTAAGCCGCTCTGAGACACCTTTGGGTAGTGATGGGCGGGGTATAAATCCAGTCTCTTCTTCTTCTTTTGCTAGTCTGTGACCCAACCCCAACTGGGTGACTGTCCCCTACCAACCTTGTCAATTTTGTTGCCCACCAGCATCTTCACAACGTTCTGCTTTGTGGTATACATCTCCAGCTCCCGTAGCCAGCTCTCCAACCCCACAAAAGTCTCCCTTCTGGTAACGTCGTAAACTGGTCAGGAGAAAGAGATACACACAAACACACATGAAAACCTTCTTTTGGATCACACTGAAGCATTCCAGTAGGAACAGAAGTGGGAAGGGGGGGTCACTTCAACAGACATGACTCCATCTTGCTATGCTGGAGGTGTTCCTCACCACATCTTAGGGCCTAGGATCCTGATGCTAGCTCTTAGGAAGCCCTGAGTGAGTATTTGGGAGAGCGCTAGGAGTCACTGCAGAACAGAGTTGCCAGTTTCCCACCTGTTCACGCAGTTGTGTGCTTTCAGGCAACCAGGAGAGGGATGACGGTACAGACATGGTAATACCACTTCTGGTCACTGTATCCTTGACACTCTAGGAATTCTCTGAATCTCTATAGTCTTTAACATAGAAACTGGGGGAATTCCTAGAGCATTGCTTACATGGTGACATCACGTCCAAGAGATCACCTGAAAGTGACATTGCTGTGTCAGCGACACTCCTCCTCCCCACTCTCTATCCCCCCCCCCAAATGTCTGAGGGGTTGCTGGCACAAGGACCGGCAACCCTACTGCAGAAGTTGCCCCAAGTGGTTGGTGTGTCACTTCATATATTGCTCTGAGGTACAATTCCCAACCTTATTGAACCTGTTGGCACTTTTGAGAGTTTGAGAGTGGGTAACGGGTGGCACTGAAAAATGGCTGCCATGGGAGGTGAGATCAGCAACAACGTGGCACAAAATGTCGGCAGGTTCCCAGCTAAGTAGACACTATGGTGAGGCTGCCCAGGCTCTCCTGAAGCACTTTCTGCTGCAGTGAGGTAGAGGAAAGCCAGGAATGGCTCTTTGCTTTGGGGAATAAGCAAGTGGACACCTGGGAACTCATCGATGAGTACCATGGCACCTACGAGTACCCCACTGGGAATCACTGCTCTGAGGCCTCAGGCCCGTAGCCAGGATTTTGTAATTCAGGGGGCCTTTAAATAAGTCAGGGGGGCACTGACATCACAAAATAAAGAATTAAATTATAATTAATTTTAAGAACTCACACTTGCCAGCAGTGTTTCCTCTAAGCTGAGTTAGTGTGAGCTAGCTCACAGTTTTTTAGCCTCCAGCTCACACATTTTTTGTCTTGGCTCAGGAAGGATGGCTCCAGAGCAAGCTGATTTATGCAGCAGCCAAATGGCTCACTCACAACTTTAATGCCAGTAGCTCACAAAGTAGAATTTTTGCTCACGAGACTCCACAGCTTAGAGGGAGCATTGCTCGCCAGTTGGAGCAGACAGCCACCCTGAGCCCGTTCGTGGGGAGGAGAGGGAGCATTGCTCGCCAGTTGGAGCAGACAGCCGCCCTGAGCCCATTCGTGGGGAGGGTGGGGGTATAAATTGAATGAATGAATGAATGAACAAACCCTGCAGCCCATTCACGCCATGGCTCATCAACATCATCATGTGGTCTGCCATGGTAACCCAGGCACCAAGGAGGCCTGGGGGCTAGATGGAAGTTGTGGGGCCTTGGCAGGAAGTCTGGTGGTGGCCCCCAAAATGCCCTATTATAGCTAGCTGCACTTCTGATGTGGTAGTAATACATTTTTCTGAGTATTCAAAGAACAGTATTTTGTACCTGGGGGAAAAAATCCTTCTTCCAACCAGAGCTTCCAGGACCCTTGTAAATGCAGGACGGAAAAAGAATGTTGTGAACTTCACAGGCTCTGCCTGGATGTAATTAGCATTTGGCAGCACAACTCAAACCTTTTTGGGCTGAACCCTTTTAACGGGTGTGTGCGCGTGTGTGCATGTCTTTTTTAAAGAGCAAACATTGCAAAAGAAAAAAAAAGGTTAACATATAATCAGGGGCTGAGTTTGTGTGGGAAAAGGCTCTGCAGGACTGAAAGTCGATTTGCTTAACCCGACATCAAATGGAAAGGCCTACAAAGCCGAGCTAAAGGGGCTTCAGCATTTTCACTTTAAACCCTTTCAAGAAACTGACATCCTTTGCAGAGAGGAACAACCACCAGCCATCACCCTATTGGCGTGGGAGTGAAGCAGCATTAATTGTTGTTCTAACTCCGTCACCGCCAGCCATCCCCTTAGAGGAAGAGGAAAGAAATTATTTCATTGACTTCTCCTTTAATGGGTTCGACTTCAAAGTTGTGCTAATTACAGGCCTAGGATGTCTGCCACCTACCTAAAATTACACCTTGAGCACCGCGGTAATAACTGGGAGTCAACGTTCGAAACCGCTCTTGCCCTGCTGTGTCCTGCAAAAGGAGGAGGGGGACAAAACAGGCAATGAGGATAAAAAGGGAGGTTGAAAAATCTGCATCACGAACGTTCAAACAAGTTCAAGGTCGCAAAGACCTGAGCCCTTTTTGTACAGGGTGTTCCTCTGCAGGGACTTTCTCAAGCTCTAGATTTGGGGTGACGGTCAATCTGGGCAATGTCGTGGAGATGGATGGGGGCTAAGGCTGCCAACCTCCTGGTGGCACCTGGAGACCTCCTGTTATTGCACTTTATTTCCGGGTGACAGAAATCAGTTCCCCTGGAGAAAACGGCTGCTTTGGAAGGTGGCCTCTGTGGATTTATACCCTGCTGAGGTTTCTTCTCTCCCAATTTATGCCCTCCCCAGGCTCCGCCACCCAAATCTCCAGGTATCTTCGAACCCAAAACTGGCAACCCTAATGAGGGCTCATCCACACTATCAGCAAATGTGCATCCCCACTGGGTTTTGACCAGCTTGGCATGGGAGGCCCAACGTCTAAATCTTTAACAAATAAAATAAAGTATAATATAATTAAATAAGAACATAAGAAGAGGCCTGCTGGATCACAGCACTGGTCCGTCCAGTCTGGAACCCTGTTTCACACATTGGACAACCAATTAGTATGCTGAACAGAGTATGTTTTATAAATATTTAAAACCGTCTCTTTTAGAATAGCTTTGCTCCAGTTTTGTGAATTGCAGCAATTTTAATCATCACTTATATAGAATTCTAATGTTCAAAGTGCTTCATATATTTAATCTTGATGGTAAACAGGAGTCTAGTGGCACTCTAGAATTCCTCAAGAGCGTAAGAGCCCTGCTGGATCAGACCAGCAGTCCATCTACTTCAGCACCCTCTTTCACACAGAGGCCTACAAGTTGCCCTGGAAGGCCAACAAACAGGGCAGAGAAGCCCTAATATTGTCTCCTAGCACCGGTATTCAGAGGCTTACTGAAGGTTCCCTTTAGGTTCCATTGATGGACCTACCCATAAATTTGTCTAATCCTCCTTTAAAGCCATCTATGCTTGTTGCCATCACTACATCCACTGGTTTAGGTAGTAGCTGCAGGGGAAAGGGTTCTGTGTTACCAGTCACTTTCCTTCACAGGCAGTATCACAAAACTGCCCACAGCTCTGGTACAGCTACTTCCCCTGCCTTCCCCTGGCTCATCCGGGAGTCCCATGGCTGCGGGGAGCCCGGGCAAACTGGCCCTTGGACAGGCCAGGGAAGGCATGCCCCCCCCCTGGCTGGTCCACCTTGGAGTTGCGGAGGGGGGAATCGCTCTCCAGGCCTTCCCTCTGTAGCCACGCATGAGGAGGTTTTGGCTGTAGTGGGCGTGGCCAACTCTGAAGCCAGCTGGAACTCCATTCCTGTGTGTTGCTGCCCCAAAATAGCCCTGCCTATGAGAAGAATCCCATTCTCCCAAGAGTACAACATGTAGCCCAGTCTGCATTGGGAAAATGCAGTATTCCTACAAGAGGAATGTCTGATTTGTGCATGGATGGGTAACAGCTGCAAGTTTAGACCACCCAATGGGTTGGAGCTAACCCTAATATGGGTTGTAACAAACTTGCTCTTTGTCACAGAATGGTCAGAGGAGGTTTTGGCCTTTTCAAATCACTTATTGCTTTGAGTTTGCAATTTTTTATTTGATTACCAGTAAGTAAAAAAAAAGATTTTATCTAAAACTATACGGCTGGGTCAAACCAGTTTTTCTGCAGGCGAAAAAGGGGTCCCTTTTGACGACACAAAAAAGTTGTTCTGGGGATCATGAGATGTGCATGGACAAAAGCCATTTGGGTAGGGATGGGCGCAAACTGGGAAAATGCGGTTTGGTTTGTGCCATGCCCGGTTCGCAAATTACGAACCGTCACAAACTTTGGGGGGTTAAATAAACCAGTTTGGTTTGTGACTTGGTAGACACCCCCCCCCCCGGACATGCTAGAGACACTAAACTCTCTGAGGATCTCTGGCTGACTCTCCTCTACCTACTGTCCAGGTTTGGTGAGGATTGGATTTACGGGGTCCAAGTTATGCCCCCCCAAAGAAGGTTCCCCCAGGAAAGTGATTTCTGGGGCTTTCTGGGGAAAGTGCTTTCTGTCATTAACAGGCGGTCATTTTGACAGGTGCAGGCTCAGGAGGTTCAGGATCCCATGCAAGCTAGAGACATCAAAGTCGCTGGGGACATCCCCCAGATGCTCCTCTACATGCCCCACAAGTTCCACCCTCCCATTGCTTTGAAGTTTTGTAAACATTTAGACTGAGTGGAGACTGTCTGGAAATGTATCCATTCACAAACCCACCATGAACAGCTGGGAAGGTCTTGGAAAGTTTGTGCTGGTTGACTTGCTACAAACTTCACTTTGTGAACCATGAACTGCCCAAAATTTGACACTAACTTTAATTTGTGAGTCAATTTGCGCCCATCCCTACATTTGGGATGGGGGCTGTATTAAGGAGGGGGACTGGCTGAGATTGAGGGGGAAAGCTGGCTGGATCCAACCCAAAGGTGGAATAAAGGGTGCCCCCTCTTTAGCTGCCTTTGATTTTTTTTCACCAACCAGGAGACAGATCAGCATCCCAGTTTGTTACAGGAACTCTAGATGTTGCTTACCCATATTGCCAACTGCAGAGGAAGGTCCCCAACGACCATCTTCTTCACTTTAAAATCAACACCTGGCAAGTGAAGAGACAGAGGTGTCAGAAGGCTGAAGGCTAAGGAAACAGATGAAACTTTTCTCACCTCTGTTCTGAGAGAGCAGTTGTGAAAGATCCAAGAAAATCGAGTTTGCAGGTCTAATTTAAATGTCAAGTTTTTACCTATCATAGGATTGCCACCTCTGGATTGGGAAACACATGGAGATTTTGGGGGTGGAGCCTAGGGATGGTGGGATTTGGGGAGGGGAGGGAATAATGCCATCGTATCTGCCTTCCAAAGCAGCCATTTTCTCTAGAGGGACTGATCATGGTCATCTGGCGATAGGGATGTCAACCTCCAGGTGGGACCTGGGGATCTCCTGGAATTACATCTTATCTCCAGACTACAGAAATCAGTTCCCCTGGAGAAAAGGGATGCTGTGGAGGGTAGACTCTATGGCATTGTACTCCACTGAGGGCCTTGCCCTCCCCAGGCTCCATCCATATTCTGATACTGAATTGATATAAGGTAAAGGTTTCCCCTGCTTGAAAGCCAGTCGAATCTGACTCTAGGGTGTGGTGCACATCTCCATTTCCAAGCCAAAGAGCCAGCGCTGTCCGAAGACATTTCCGTGGTCAGGTGGCCGGCATGACTAGACGCCAAGGCACACGGAACGCTGTTACCTTCCCACCGAAGCGGTACCTATTTATCTACTTGCAATTTCTTGCTTTCGAATTGCTAGGTTGGCAGCAGCTGGGACCAGAGACGGGAGCTCACTCCATCATGGGGCACTCGGGTCTTGAACTGCTGAACTACTGACCTTCTGGTCTGCAGTTCAGCATCTTAACCACTGAGCCACCGCAGCCCCTTTATAAGTAATTACTCCCCCCCAAAGACCAAATAATTGGACAGACCCAAAGTATATACTTAAGAGCTATGTCATGTGAATTACAGTGCCAGCAATTAGACACTTTACTTTGTCCTTTACTAAAACAGCACTGTAGTGTCCAATATACCCTAAATATAATTTTTCCTCAATAAGTCACAGCTTGAGGACCATAGAAAAAACTGAAATGAAGTTTAGGGCCATATCAAGGCTCATAGCCGCAGTGGGGCATTTAGGGACGGTGCCCCCTCGCTCATGGCCCATGCCCCACAACTCCTGCTGTGGGAGTTGTGCCAGCAGGTAAGGAAAGACCCTTCTCTTCTTTGCCTGCCTGCCAGTGGGATCTCTCTCTCTCTATCCCCTGCTCCCCCACTTTCTCAATGCCCCACCACCCAAAATTTTCTGCCTGCGCCCCCGGGTCATATCCCATTGTGTTGGCTAAATAGGCTTGATCTAGCTCCTTTATTCCATTCATTCCTGAGATTTTGCATTTCATATTTATTCATCAACATCAAATATTCATAAACAAATATTGTAGGCTGTGTTTCCTGCATTCATTCAGTGAGAGTTTTAGCCATTCTGACTTAACAAACACCTCAAGCAGTCAGATGGCGGCAGTAATATATTTACAGGCACTACCAAGGCAATGCACGATTGGAGAGGTACTCTGCAGAATCTCCTGCTAGGGTGCACACGATGCTCAGGGAAGTACCATAGGCGAGGCTGATCCTCGCCCAAGACCTCGTTTACCCGCCGGCGCCGAAGGAAGGACCCATGGTGTGCCGCCGGCGCATCTGATCGTGTAATCGCGGATCAAACTGCGCCGGGGCAATTAGCCACGCCTCACCCCCGCAATATCCGGCCCATGTGGCTGGGGCCTTGATTGATTTATGAATGAAAAAATATATACCTTCCCTATCTCATAGCTGGGCCCCTGACCTGGATGGCCCAGGCTAGCCCAGTCCCATCAGATCTTGGAAGCTAAGCAGAGTCAACCCTGGTTAGGACCTGGAGAGGAGACCACCAAGGAAGTCCAGGGTTGCTGCGCAGCGGCAGGCAATGGCAAACCACCTTTGTGTGCCTCTTGCCTTGAAAACCCTATGGATTCACCATAAGTTTGCCACAGCTTTCCACCACCACCCCATAGTTCAAGGCAGCTTACAAGCTCAAATTTTGAAAGCGTATGCATTCCTATCAAACCTGACATAATGCCTCCCCCCTAAAAATGCCTATACCCCATTAAAAGTCCCTAGCCATCAAACTGCTCTTGCAGTGCCCCTAAATACCCCTAAAGACAGTGCCCCACTGCACCTGCTCTGCCGTCCTGTTCCACAGGGTTGGAGCAATGATGGAAAAAGGTTGGTCTCTAGTTGATGCCCTGCAGGCTACCTTAAGCGGAGGGACAACTTGCATGTGAGGCGGCAACAGGGGTCATTTCGTAGAAAAAGAGGTGCAGGAGCTCATTAGCACAACTTATTAGCATAACTTATTTGCATATGCCACACCCCCTGACATCACCGGAAGTGTGTCTGAAGGCAACACCCACCGCTCGGGCTCCACTGGACTGTTTGGATTGCTAGCTATGGGGGGGGGGATGTGCAGATCTGCCCTCGCAGAGGAGGGAGAGCTTGTACCTGAATAAAACCTGGTCTTAAAGGTGCCACTGGACTGTTTTGGATTGCTAGCTATGGGGGGGGGACGCACAGATCTGCCCTCACAGAGGAGGGAGAGCTTGTACCTGAAGGCAGGCCGGGGGGGGGGCTCTGCAACTTACCTGGCTGCCTCTTGCTCCTCGTGGCCCAACTGAGGGCTGCTGGGAACAGGGGGTGGGGCTTGTTGCATAGAGCCCCTGGGCTCCTTACTGCCGGAGCTCCGCTCCTGTGCGCTCCCGCAAGAAATGACCCCTGGGTGGCAACCTGAAGACCACAACTGGTGCATAGGGGACATACAGGAAGAGACGGTCCTTTGAATTGTAAAGCACAGGAGGGGCTATGCATGGATTCAGAAAGCCAAAACGTTTCAAACTGCCTTTGTGTTTTTCACACATCAGAAACCTGATAATCAGGCATTCATTATTCCGCCTACTTCTGTGTTCTTCACACATGCAGTGCTCAAAAGCGCTGTAAAGCAGCATGTGTGAATCTGGCCGCAGCTGGCACACCAGTTAAGAATTAACTACTGCTTTTTGGTTGTAATAACTGGAGAAAGGGGAGATTATCCCTCAAAGTTTGGCTTGAGCTGAATATAGGAGAGCTTCTTGAATCACTAGCAAAACCTCGGGATATTAAAAAACAACAGAAGCCAGATAAATGTTGATTAGGGACAAAAGCTAAAACCATTTCAAACAAAGAACATTGGATTCACTATCTAGTCAATGGAAAGAAGCTGCAGTTAAGAAGAACTGCGGGTCTTGATGGGCGAAGGGAGTCATCTGCAGAATAGCTCCTAGGTATCAGAGTGC